GAAGGTGCCCTCAAATCAAGACTCGGCGGTCAGCTGGGTTGGCGTGACTGAAAAAAATGCCCGGGCGGATGTCCGCCGCTTGCCGATCGTGCAGGCGCTGCCGCTTTCCCCTTGCTCGAGCCTGAGATGCGCCTGTGGCGTGTGGCCTCACCTCTGCGCTCTCTCTGCCGCCACCTTCCCCACTATGTCAAAATCCCACTGAGAAATTTAAAATTTCTCTAGAGCCGGTGACGCCACTGGATGATATGCTCCACTGGGCCCCCGGAACACGCCTGCGCGGCGGCGAGCAGTGAAGAGGCGCGGAAAGCTGATTTTTTTACTTTTGGACGCATTTCGGGCTCCGTACTGGTTGACGCAGAGCCGCACGCGCCGACCGGCGCCGTTCGCGACCACGAGGGCGGATGTGAGGTTACCGACTGCACTCCAAGTGCTCCAAGTGCCCCCCCCACTCTCTTGCCCGCAACCCGATGCCATATGCCAATCGTCCGGCCCGCTGGTGCGCTTCTTACTTAGCTCCTGCCCGAGGCACCCGGACGGATGCTCAAGCGTCGGTGGACAGCGTGTCTGAAAAAATGACGCGGCCGGAGCGTCCGCCCCCTTGCCGATCGTGCAGGCGCTGCCGCTTTCCCCTTGCTCGAGCCTGAGATGCGCCTGTGGCGTGTGGCCTCACCTCTGCGCTCTCTCTGCCGCCACCTTCCCCACTATGTCAAAATCCCACTGAGAAATTTAAAATTTCTCTAAGTCGGAGACGAGGTAGCAGCTGTCCTCGCTGATGTTGTCGTCGCCGAGCGCAGTCAGCAGCACGCCCTTGAACTGCTGCGCCTGCGCCGGATCGACGGTCGAAACCTCAATCCCGCCGATCTGCACCCCGTTGAGAGCGGCGATGCCGAGACCCCGCACGACGTTGTGCATCCAAGATGCGCAGGACTCTGCAGCTGCGCCGATGCAGCCGGCTGACAGCAGCTGGTTGAGCTCCTCGTCATCGAGCGGTTCGAGATCCGCGCCAATGGGGAGCAGCGACCAGCCGTCGCGCCCGGGCTCGCTCCCCTTGTAGCGCACGAGGAAGGACTTGCGCCAAGTGTCGGCGTGGTCAGTGCGGACACGGATCGCAAACTTGGAGTTGTCCGCCGCGTTGGTCAGGTCGAGTGGCTGCCCATTCTTGTAGGTGGCAGCGAGCTTGTACCAGTCGAGCTCGCTGAAGCCAGCCTGCTCCTGGCGCTCGCGCTCGGCCTCCGCATCGCCGTCGCCACCGCCTCCCTCCGCACCGTCGCCGTCGCCGCCGTCCGCCTCGCCCTCGCCGCCGCCGCCGTCCGCCTCGCCGTCGCCACCGCCTCCCTCGGTGGCAGCGGCGTCCAGCTCTCCGCCACTGTCCTCATCCCCGTCAATGGACTCGACCTCGAACGCATGCGCGACGTCGAGCGCGCCGCCCGGGGTTGCCTCCTCCACCCGAGCATGCAGCTCATCCTCCGTCACCTCCACAGCTGACCAGCAGTCCATCGTGCAGGTACAGTCGTCGCGGGCAGGTAAGCGACGGGCAGGTGCACACGGAAGCCGCAAAAATGCACACCGAAGCCGCAAAAATGCACATCGAAGCCGCAAAAATGCACACCGAAGCCGCACTTCGCAAATTTGCAAAAAAAACATAAGAGTGACACTATGGATTTCGGGTGACACAGGTTGCCTGTGAACCGCGCCGCTTCACACTCTCCCGCTGTGAACAGGCGTCTGAGAACACGATGGCGCAGCTCGCCGACCACGTGGCGAACTCGGTGCTGGGCAGCGGCAACGCGGTCGCCATGTTCCCCACCCTCGCGGGCGAGGCGACGTACGACGGCGCGTACGATGAGTCGGACGACCAGCCCTGGCGCGTCATGCTGTGACCCGTGCCAGGCGCATCTGTCTAGTAAAGTACGTATACGTAAAGGGTAAAGCGAGAAGGCACGTACATACGTAGCGAGCAGACATCTCCCGGAGAGATGGGCGGGGAGGGGGGGGGGGGGACCAACCCATTTTTTTCGCGAACGAAAATGTCGTGCGACCTCGAGGTAAAATTCTTTTTCTGCTCAAAGATGCTCGCGATCCCGCTGCTTTTCGCGCAGGGGTCGGGCTGCTGCGGCCCCGGCACGTTCCTAAACGGGGCCGTCTGCGACGACTGCCCCGTGGGCTCTTCGTGTCCCGGCGGGTTTGTCGACCCGACGCCATGCGCGGCCGGAACGTTTGCGGCCGTCGGCGGGCTCGCTGTGTGCATCTCGTGTACCGGCGGGACCTACCAGGGCGAGTCGAACGCGACGGGCTGCCTACCGTGCTCGGAGGGCAGCTACTGCCCCGAGGGCGCGGCGGCGCGCCGCTGCCGTGCGTTGCGGGCAGCTACTCGACCGCCACCAACCTCGCCGATGCGAGCGAGTGCACCGACGCCTCGCCGGGCTACTTCGCCACCACGGGCTCGACGCAGCAGACGGCGTGCGCCAAGGGGTCGTACACGGACGCGTACAAGCAGGGCGCGTGCACGCTCTGCGCCGGCGGCACGTACCAGGACGAGGGCGGCCAGACGGAGTGCAAGGCGTGTTTGCCAGGCCATTACTGCGCTGTCGGCGCGGCGGCGGCGCTTCCCTGCGTTGCGGGCAGCTACTCGAGCGCCACCGACCTCACCGACGAAGGGAGGCGGTGGCGACGGCGACGCGGAAGGAGGTGGCGGGGAGGGAGAGGCGGAGGGAGGCGGCGGCGAGGGCGACGCGGACGGAGGCGGCGGCGACGGCGAGGCGGAAGGAGGCGGCGGCGAGGGCGAGGCGGGCGGCGGCGGCGGCGACGGCGAGGCGGACGGCGGCGGCGCAGGAGGCGATGGCGAGGAAGGCGGCGGGGATGGTGGGTACCCCGGCGGGGCCGCCGGCGGGGCCGACGGCGGTGGCGAAGGCGGCGGCGGCGACGGCGAGGCGGACGGCGGCGGGGAGGGAGAGGCGGAGGGAGGCGGTGGCGACGGCGACGCGGAAGGAGGTGGCGGGGAGGGAGAGGCGGAGGGAGGCGGCGGCGAGGGCGACGCGGACGGAGGCGGCGGCGACGGCGAGAAAAGAAAAAGACTCTCGTCGGGGCGATCGCTGCGAATCCCGGCGGTGGAGCGATAAATCCCTGCCTGTGTCTTTGCGGCCTGTGTCTTCGCAACCCGCTGCCTTTCGATGCGCCTACTTCTGCTCGGCGTGCTTGCGGGGCTCGCGGCCGCCGAGAGCGGCCGCATTCTCATCGAGGGCCACGCCCTCGGCTCGGACTCGGTCGTGCACTCCAGCATCGACGGGCGCTCGACGGAAGCGGCGCGCTTGGCGCCGCCTGGCTTTGAGACGGCTGGGGGCACCTCCCAGCCAGCGTGCGGCGCGAGCCGCAACATGCTGGGCGTCCCGACCGACGTCCAGCGCAAGATCGACAACCGCGGCAGCCTCGGCGGGCCGCGCAAGACCTGTTCCGCCTTTGACGGCTGCCGCGGCGGTGGCGACTATGCGGAGAAGATGGTGAGTGTCGAACTCGCCGGCGCCGGCGCGGCCGGATCGAGCGCACATCACGCGCCGAACGCCTCTGCGTCGCTCGGCGAGGACGCGTGCGCGGAGGCGGCCAAGAGGGAGAACTGCGTCATGAACGTGTGCGCGTGCGCGACCAGCGAGTCTTGGGACGCCTCAGGCACCTGCGGTGCCGACGGCGGCGAGACATTGGGGCAGTCACGGCCGACATTCGAGATCGCGCAGGGCGAGAAGCTGCTCCAGACCGGCGCGCGCGGCTTCGTGCGCGCCATCGTCGACAAGATCAGCACCTTAGTGACGGTGACGCAGCAGGGCCGGCTGCGCTCTGAGCGCATGGCTTGCGCGGACCTGTCGCAGATGAACGCGGCGGAGGGTGCCGTCCTGACGGCGGCCGTGCTGCCCTTCGCCCACGAGCGTGGCGCGGCGGCGGCCATGACCGCCAGCGGCCCCATCGCGGGCGACACGGATCACGGCCGGGACCTCAGCCAGTGGCTCAGCCGCGGCCGCGCCGGCGGCGGTTGCGGCGGCTGCTATGGCGCCTCCGGCGGCGGCAGCGGCGGCTCTGGCGGCGGCGGCGCAAGCAGCCGGCAGGCGACGGAGGCGGCGCTCTCGACAGCGCGCCGCACCCAGCGCTCGCTCCAGAGCGCCGGCACGCACGGCGCGATCATCGGACGGAAGGGGCGGAAGGTGCAGGCCTTTGCGCACCCCTCGAGCGCGTCCGAGCTCATTGGCGCTGAGACCGCCCCTTCAACGGCCGCTGTCGAGGCGAACCTCGCCGTCGGCGGGGCTGATGACAACAACGGCGAAGAGCACGGCCTCGCCGCACAGCTCCACGCGAGCAAGGGGCGCGTCGGCACCGGCGGTGGGAGCGGCTCCTCCCCACCCGGCCTCCTACTGGGCAGTACCTCCAGTCCCGGCGCTGACAGCGACGTGGTCGCCGACCCTTTGTCGGGCGTGACCGCGACTGTCCGCGCGAGCGCCACTGCGCACCCCACTGGCTCGCGGGCGGCGACGCTCCGCGCGGCGTCCGCCGTGCAGGGCAGCAACACGAGTCGGCTCGCGTCTCCCAAGGCGCTTCCCTCTGGGCTGGTCTCAAGTTGCCAGATGCGGCTCTCTGAGCCCACCCTCCCGTGCCGCGCCGACGTCGGCGAGGCGCTGGGCACGTCGTGGGCCACCGGGCAGCAGCTGCTTCGGCCTACGCAAGGCGAGAAGCTGCTCCAGGCCGGCGCGCGCGGCTTCGTGCGCGCCATCGTCGACAAGATCAGCACCTTAGTGACGGTGACGCAGCAGGGCCGGCTACGCTCTGAGCGCATGGCTTGCGCGGACCTGTCGCAGGAGAAGGCGGCGGAGGGCGCCGTCCTGACGGCGGCCGTGCTGCCCTTCGCCCACGAGCGTGGCGCGGCGGCGGCCATGACCGCCAGCGGCCCCATCGCGGGCGACACGGATCACGGCCGGGACCTCAGCCAGTGGCTCAGCCGCGGCCGCGCCGGCGGCGGTTGCGGCGGCGGCTATGGCGGCTCCGGCGGCGGCAGCGGCGGCTCTGGCGGCGGCGGCGCAAGCAGCCGGCAGGCGACGGAGGCGGCGCTCTCGACAGCGCGCCGCACCCAGCGCTCGCTCCAGAGCGCCGGCACGCACGGCGCGATCATCGGACGGAAGGGGCGGAAGGTGCAGGCCTTTGCGCACCCCTCGAGCGCGTCCGAGCTCATTGGCGCTGAGACCGCCCCTTCAACGGCCGCTGTCGAGGCGAACCTCGCCGTCGGCGGGGCTGGTGACAACCAAGGCGAAGAGCACGGCCTCGCCGCACAGCTCCACGCGGGCAAGGGGCGCGTCGGCACCGGCGGTGGGAGCGGCTCCTCCCCACCCGGCCTCCTACTGGGCAGTACCTCTAGTCCCGGCGCTGACAGCGACGTGGTCGACCCTTCGTCGGGCGTGACCGCGACTGTCCGCGCGAGCGCCACGGCGCACCCCACTGGCTCGCGGGCGGCGACGCTCCGCGCGGCGTCCGCCGTGCAGGGCAGCAACGCGAGTCGGCTCGCGTCTCCCAAGGCGCTTCCCTCTGGGCTGGTCTCAAGTTGCCGGATGCGGCTCTCAGAGCCCACCCTCCCGTGCCGCGCCGACGTTGGCGAGGCGCGTGGCACGTCGTGGGCCACCGGGCAGCAGCTGCTTCGGCCTACGCAGGGCGAGAAGCTGCTCCAGGCCGGCGCGCGCGGCTTCGTGCGCGCCATCGTCGACAAGATCAGCACCTTAGTGACGGTGACGCAGCAGGGCCGGCTGCGCTCTGAGCGCATGGCTTGCGCGGACCTGTCGCAGATGAACGCGGCGGAGGGCGCCGTCCTGACGGCGGCCGTGCTGCCCTTCGCCCACGAGTGTGGCGCGGCGGCGGCCATGACCGCCAGCGGCCCCATCGCGGGCGACACGGATCACGGCCGGTTCGACCTCAGCCAGTGGCTCAGCGGTGGCCGTGCCGGCGGTTGCGGCGGTGGCTATGGCGCCTCCGGCGGCGGCAGCGGCGGCTCTGGCGGCGGCGGCGCAAGCAGCCGGCAGGCGACGGAGGCGGCGCTCTCGACAGCGCGCCGCACCCAGCGGTTGCTCCAGAGCGCCGGCACGCACGGCGCGATCATCGGACGGAAGGGGCGGACGGTGCAGGCCTTTGCGCACCCCTCGAGCGCGTCCGAGCTCATTGGCGCTGAGAATCCCCTTTCAATGGCGCTAGGCGACACTCGCCGTCGGCGGGGCTGAAGACAAGGGCAAAGAGCACGGCCTCGCTGCACAGATCCCCGCGAGCAAGGGGCGAGTCGGCACCGGTGGTAGTGGGTCCTCCCCACGCGGCCTCGGGATGGCCAGTACCTCCAGTCCCGGCGCTGACGTCGACGTGGTCATCGACCCCGTCATTGACCCAGAGAATGCCCCTTCAACGACCGTACTCGAGGCGAAGCTCGCCATCGGCATGCTTGGGCTCTACTGCGCTCGCCCGGATCCCGACAGCATCTCGATGTGCGCATCCCCCACTTGTCTGCAGAGCCCGACCCATCTGGAAGTACCATGATGACTCAACTACACGGGAGGTCACACACGGGAGGTCACAATATTCACGCGAAGAGCTCTTAGCACTACTCACCACCTAATGTGCACATCTCGGACATATCTGGGATCCACTTTCTGCCGATGGCTACACGAGAAGCTTCCCCCCTATCCTCCCTTCCCCCCTCACACGACAGACCCTCTTGCACCAAATGAGCCGCCTCCTATCCTAGGGCGGAGTCTTTTCGGACCCTGCGAGGCGTACACGCGCAGAAGCCCTTCTCCGTCTACACGGGCTTCTACTCCTTCTTCGACGAGATCCCTTTCGCGCACCTCATGACGCCCTCGCGCAACTGCACCGACTACATCAAGATGCTTCAGACCGACCCGTCTGGCGCCTTGCCGGACGCCACCCACCATCTGACCTTCTCTTACCCGATCAACCTCTCCAAGTTCAGCGGCGCCGACTCACGCGCCACCGGCCCGACCACCTTCAAGCCCATCGGCGCCGCGGCCGACGCCGAGCTCGCCTCCTTTGGCGAGTCCACCGGCGCGGCCATCGTTGGCGACGGCTCGCTCGCCGACTCCATCGTCAACTCCGTCGGTCTCACGTGCGGCGGCGGCGCAGCCCCTGTGTGGTGCGCGGAGCCGCCGCAGCCGCTCACCGATGTCTCTGAGGATCCGATCGAGGCCTCGGGCTCCACGAGCAACGAGACGAGCCTCAAGACCGCCGCGGCCCACTCCAAGATCGAGACCGGGATCGGTAAGACCTACCCGACTACCTCCAAGCTCAACATCGGCGCCTACGTCGAGCTCGCCCCCTTTCAAGAGACCTCCGGCGCGACCAAGATCGGCGACCCCTCGCCCGAGGCAAGCTTCACGACCGCCACAGCCCTCTCAGAGATCGAGGCGGCGTCCCTGCTCTTTCTCCACCCTTGTGCGGCCGTGCTGGCGCTGCTCCTCGCGGCGTGCCTTGAGCCGCTGCTGCGAGGGCAGGTCAAGAAGAAGAGGGTGGAGGGCCGCAGCCACGCAGCGATCTCCAGCACGCGTGCTCTCCGAGTCGGCATTGTGATCCTCTTCGTCCTGCAGGGCGCGCGCGGCACACTAGCGCCACCGCCGCCTTGCTACAGCGCAAGGTGGAACGGGCTGTGCATCGACGGCACCTCCAATGGACACGCGAGTTGCCAATGCTCAGAGTCGAATCAAGGCTCCGTGGCCCTCTGTGAAGCTGCCTGCTCCAACATGGCGGGCTGCACGGGCTACGCATACCACACGATCGGAGCAAGTTGTAAGGTATATACGGCTACGCTGACGCAATGGACGCACCCGACAAAATACCTGCTGTACACCTGTTACGGGCGCAATCCGTGCCCTCCTTCGCCGCCACCAGCCCACCCACCTCCGCCCGTATCGACCTGCTTTGAATTGCCGCCGTCGATGAACGGACCGACCTTCCCCAGCGGGTGCCCGGGCGCTGTCTGGACCGACGGAAGCCCCTCCTGGAGGTACTGCGGAGGGAATTCAGACGGGTCGCACCTGTGGTGGGCCGCCTGCTGCATCTGGACGGGCAGCGAATGCGTGCCAAGGTACAAGACGCCTCCGCCTTTGCCACCCACCTCTCCAAAGCCGCCGCAGCCGCCCTCTCCGCTCTCTCCGCCCTCTCCGCCGCCGCTGCCGCCGCTACACCCCGGCGTTGTAGCCGCGGCGACCGAGAGTAAGCTCCGCACCTTGATCGCGGAGGCTAATACCAGCACCTCAATCTACCTCCCGCCCGGTGCGCGCCTCGAGCTGGGCAGCCAAATCAGCTGCGCCTCCACCATCAAGGTGACCGTCGCGAGCAGCGGCGAGGGCGCAACGCTCGACGGCCAGGGGCGGACCAGGCTCTTTTCCCTCTCGGGCGGTTGCAGCCTCACCCTGCAGGGGCTGACCCTCGTCAACGGGAGGGCGGACAGCGGCGGCGTTGTGTACGCGAACGGCGCAGGCGACGTCGCGATCATTGAGTCGACCGTGAGGAACTCATACGCGTCCAGATATGTGCGCCGCGTAGAGCTAGCCGCCTCCCTGCAGCGCCGGCACGGCAGGGGGGGGGAGATGGAGAGAGACACGGTTGCCTCATCCCGCTCTCTCCTCGCAACCGCAGTTCGGCGGCGTCGTCAGGGCGGATCACAGCGGTGCGGTCTCGATAACCAGATCGAATGTGGAGGGGTGCTCGGCTGTCTCTGTGCGCCGCGTAGAGCTAGCCGCCCTCTGCAGCGCCGGAGAGGGGCCACGGCTTCCTCACCCCACTCTCTCCTCGCAACCACAGCGCGGCGGCGTCGTCTACGCAGAGGACAGCGGTGTGATCTCGCTAATCAACTCCACCATGACGGGCTGCTCTGCTGACTGGGTGCGCCGAGTAGAGCTAGCCTCCCGCCCTGCAGCGCCGCACGGCAGCGGGGCGAGCGATGGAGAGGGCCACGGCTGCCTCACCCACTTTCTCCTCGCAACTGCAGCGCGGCGGCGTCGTCAACGCGGAGTGGAGCGAGTCTCTCTACATTGCGGGTGTCGACTTCACCAACAACAGAGCGAAATCAGGCTCGGTGCTGTACCTGGATCGCATCGACCAAACCTCGATCAGCGACGCCTCCTTCACTGGCAACATCCCTGCCGACGGCAAGACGATACAGACCGACTCGCCGATTGACTGGGACTGCCGCTTGGGCCGCTGGATGCCGACCGAGGGCGCCTTTAGGCGCGACTTCAGCGCCCCCGAGTGCTACCCTTGCTCCGCTGGCTACTATGGGAACACGAACGGCCTCACCGACGCCACTTGCAGCGGCCAGTGCATCAGGGGCCACTTTTGCGAGAAGGGGACCACCGACCCCGAGCCCTGCCCGGTCGGCACTCGCATGCCCGCCCTCGGCGCGGCGAGCAACGAGAGCTGCATCCCGTGCGCTCCCGGCCAGTATCAGCCCCTCGCAGGCCAATCGGACTGCCTCACCTGCCCCGCGGGCAGCTTCGCTCCCGACGTTGGCCTCACCGCTTGCGACCCTTGCCCGCGCGGAGGCTACTGCGAGGAGGCTGGGGCCGCCTCTCGCATGGTCTGGGAGCCTTGTCGTGCGGGCAGCTTCAACCCGACCAACGGCTCCAACTCGAGCGCCGCGTGCGAGTCCTGCCCCGCCGGGACCGCTAGCGCAACGCGGGGCGCGGAGAGCAGCGAAACGTGCGCGCCGTGCCGTCCAGGCACCGTCGCCGCAACGGCGGGCCTCTCCGAGTGTGCCAGCTGCGGCGGAGGGACCTATCAGACCGGCACGGGCGCCACAGGCTGCCGCGAATGCGAGCAGGGCAGCTACTGCGCCGAGGGCGCGTCGGCGCCGCTGCCGTGCGTTGCGGGCAGCTACTCGACCGCCACCAACCTCACCGCCGCGGGCGAGTGCACCGACGCCTCGCCGGGCCACTTCGCCACCACCGGCTCCACGCAGCAGACGGCGTGCGCCAAGGGGTCGTACACGGACGCGTACGGGCAGGGCGCGTGCACGCCCTGCGCCGGCGGCACGTACCAGGACGAGGAAGGCAAGACGGCGTGCGAGCCGTGCGAGGCGGGAAGCTACTGCGCTGTTGGCGCGGCGGCGGCGCTGCCGTGCGAGGCTGGCAGCTACTCGACCGCCACCAACCTCACCGACGCGAGCGAGTGCACCGACGCCACGCCGGGCCACTTCGCCACCACCGGCTCCACCGAGCAGACGGCGTGCCGCGAGGGCAGCTTCGCCAACGGCACCCGCAACGACGCGTGCGAGCTGTGCCCCGAGGGGTACTACCAGGACCAGCCCGCCGCCGCCGCCTGCGTCCGCTGCGCTGCTGGCAAGTTTTGCCCAGTGGGGTCGTCGCGCGAGCTGGACGCGCAGTGCGAGGCGGGCACGTACGCCAGGCTGACCGACCGGAGCGGCGACCCCGAGTGCCTCGACTGCCCCGCCGGCTCGTCGTGCGGCGGCGGGGCGGCGCCGCCCTCCGAGTGCTCGCCGGGCTCTTTCGCCGCCACGGCCGGCCTCTCCGAGTGTGCCAGCTGCGGCGGAGGGACCTATCAGACCGGCACGGGCGCCACAGGCTGCCGCGAATGCGAGCAGGGCAGCTACTGCGCCGAGGGCGCGTCGGCGCCGCTGCCGTGCGTTGCGGGCAGCTACTCGACCGCCACCAACCTCACCGCCGCGGGCGAGTGCACCGACGCCTCGCCGGGCCACTTCGCCACCACCGGCTCCACGCAGCAGACGGCGTGCGCCAAGGGGTCGTACACGGACGCGTACGGGCAGGGCGCGTGCACGCCCTGCGCCGGCGGCACGTACCAGGACGAGGAAGGCAAGACGGCGTGCGAGCCGTGCGAGGCGGGAAGCTACTGCGCTGTTGGCGCGGCGGCGGCGCTGCCGTGCGAGGCTGGCAGCTACTCGAGTGCCACCAACCTCACCGACGCGAGCGAGTGCACCGACGCCACGCCGGGCCACTTCGCCACCACCGGCTCCACCGAGCAGACGGCGTGCCGCGAGGGCAGCTTCGCCAACGGCACCCGCAACGACGCGTGCGAGCTGTGCCCCGAGGGGTACTACCAGGACCAGCCCGCCGCCGCCGCCTGCGTCCGCTGCGCTGCTGGCAAGTTTTGCCCGGTGGGGTCGTCGCGCGAGCTGGACGCGCAGTGCGAGGCGGGCACGTACGCGAGGCTGACCGACCGGAGCGGCGACCCCGAGTGCCTCGACTGCCCCGCCGGCTCGTCGTGCGGCGGCGGGGCGGCGCCGCCCTCCGAGTGCTCGCCGGGCTCTTTCGCCGCCACGGCCGGCCTCTCCGAGTGCGCCAGCTGTGCGGGCGGGACGTACCAGGGCGAGTCGAACGCGACGAGCTGCCTTCCGTGCGTGGAGGGCAGCTACTGCGCCGAGGGCGCGTCGGCGCCGCTGCCGTGCGTTGCGGGCAGCTACTCGACCGCCACCAACCTCACCGCCGCGGGCGAGTGCACCGACGCCTCGCCGGGCCACTTCGCCACCACCGGCTCCACGCAGCAGACGGCGTGCGCCAAGGGGTCGTACACGGACGCGTACGGGCAGGGCGCGTGCACGCCCTGCGCCGGCGGCACGTACCAGGACGAGGAAGGCAAGACGGCGTGCGAGCCGTGCGAGGCGGGAAGCTACTGCGCTGTTGGCGCGGCGGCGGCGCTGCCGTGCGAGGCTGGCAGCTACTCGAGCGCCACCAACCTCACCGACGCGAGCGAGTGCACCGACGCCACGCCGGGCCACTTCGCCACCACCGGCTCCACCGAGCAGACGGCGTGCCGCGAGGGCAGCTTCGCCAACGGCACCCGCAACGACGCGTGCGAGCTGTGCCCCGAGGGGTACTACCAGGACCAGCCCGCCGCCGCCGCCTGCGTCCGCTGCGCTGCTGGCAAGTTTTGCCCGGTGGGGTCGTCGCGCGAGCTGGACGCGCAGTGCGAGGCGGGCACGTACGCCAGGCTGACCGACCGGAGCGGCGACCCCGAGTGCCTCGACTGCCCCGCCGGCTCGTCGTGCGGCGGCGGGGCGGCGCCGCCCTCCGAGTGCTCGCCGGGCTCTTTCGCCGCCACGGCCGGCCTCTCCGAGTGCGCCAGCTGTGCGGGCGGGACGTACCAGGGCGAGTCGAACGCGACGAGCTGCCTTCCGTGCGTGGAGGGCAGCTACTGCGCCGAGGGCGCGTCGGCGCCGCTGCCGTGCGTTGCGGGCAGCTACTCGACCGCCACCAACCTCACCGCCGCGGGCGAGTGCACCGACGCCTCGCCGGGCCACTTCGCCACCACCGGCTCCACGCAGCAGACGGCGTGCGCCAAGGGGTCGTACACGGACGCGTACGGGCAGGGCGCGTGCACGCCCTGCGCCGGCGGCACGTACCAGGACGAGGAAGGCAAGACGGCGTGCGAGCCGTGCGAGGCGGGAAGCTACTGCGCTGTTGGCGCGGCGGCGGCGCTGCCGTGCGAGGCTGGCAGCTACTCGAGCGCCACCAACCTCACCGCCGCGAGCGAGTGCACCGACGCCACGCCGGGCCACTTCGCCACCACCGGCTCCACCGAGCAGACGGCGTGCCGCGAGGGCAGCTTCGCCAATGGCACCCGCAACGACGCGTGCGAGCTGTGCCCCGAGGGGTACTACCAAGACCAGCCCGCCGCCGCCGCCTGCGTCCGCTGCGCTGCTGGCAAGTTTTGCCCGGTGGGGTCGTCGCGCGAGCTGGACGCGCAGTGCGAGGCGGGCACGTACGCCAGGCTGACCGACCGGAGCGGCGACCCCGAGTGCCTCGACTGCCCCGCCGGCTCGTCGTGCGGCGGCGGGGCGGCGCCGCCCTCCGAGTGCTCGCCGGGCTCTTTCGCCGCCACGGCCGGCCTCTCGGAGTGCGCCAGCTGTGCGGGCGGGACGTACCAGGGCGAGTCGAACGCGACGAGCTGCCTTCCGTGCGTGGAGGGCAGCTACTGCGCCGAGGGCGCGTCGGCGCCGCTGCCGTGCGTTGCGGGCAGCTACTCGACCGCCACCAACCTCACCGCCGCGGGCGAGTGCACCGACGCCTCGCCGGGCCACTTCGCCACCACCGGCTCCACGCAGCAGACGGCGTGCGCCAAGGGGTCGTACACGGACGCGTACGGGCAGGGCGCGTGCACGCCCTGCGCCGGCGGCACGTACCAGGACGAGGAAGGCAAGACGGCGTGCGAGCCGTGCGAGGCGGGAAGCTACTGCGCTGTTGGCGCGGCGGCGGCGCTGCCGTGCGAGGCTGGCAGCTACTCGAGCGCCACCAACCTCACCGACGCGAGCGAGTGCACCGACGCCACGCCGGGCCACTTCGCCACCACCGGCTCCACCGAGCAGACGGCGTGCCGCGAGGGCAGCTTCGCCAACGGCACCCGCAACGACGCGTGCGAGCTGTGCCCCGAGGGGTACTACCAGGACCAGCCCGCCGCCGCCGCCTGCGTCCGCTGCGCTGCTGGCAAGTTTTGCCCGCAGGGGTCGTCGCGCGAGCTGGACGCGCAGTGCGAGGCGGGCACGTACGCGAGGCTGACCGACCGGAGCGGCGACCCCGAGTGCCTCGACTGCCCCGCCGGCTCGTCGTGCGGCGGCGGGGCGGCGCCGCCCTCCGAGTGCTCGCCGGGCTCTTTCGCCGCCACGGCCGGCCTCTCCGAGTGCGCCAGCTGTGCGGGCGGGACGTACCAGGGCGAGTCGAACGCGACGAGCTGCCTTCCGTGCGTGGAGGGCAGCTACTGCGCCGAGGGCGCGTCGGCGCCGCTGCCGTGCGTTGCGGGCAGCTACTCGACCGCCACCAACCTCACCGCCGCGGGCGAGTGCACCGACGCCTCGCCGGGCCACTTCGCCACCACCGGCTCCACGCAGCAGACGGCGTGCGCCAAGGGGTCGTACACGAACGCGTACGGGCAGGGCGCGTGCACGCCCTGCGCCGGCGGCACGTACCAGGACGAGGAAGGCAAGACGGCGTGCGAGCCGTGCGAGGCGGGAAGCCACTGCGCCGTTGGCGCGGCGGCGGCGCTGCCGTGCGAGGCTGGCAGCTACTCGAGCGCCACCAACCTCACCGACGCGAGCGAGTGCACCGACGCCACGCCGGCCACTTCGCCACCACCGGCTCCACCGAGCAGACGGCGTGCCGCGAGGGCAGCTTCGCCAACGGCACCCGCAACGACGCGTGCGAGCTGTGCCCCGAGGGGTACTACCAGGACCAGCCCGCCGCCGCCGCCTGCGTCCGCTGCGCTGCTGGCAAGTTTTGCCCGGTGGGGTCGTCGCGCGAGCTGGACGCGCAGTGCGAGGCGGGCACGTACGCGAGGCTGACCGACCGGAGCGGCGACCCCGAGTGCCTCGACTGCCCCGCCGGCTCGTCGTGCGGCGGCGGGGCGGCGCCGCCCTCCGAGTGCTCGCCGGGCTCTTTCGCCGCCACGGCCGGCCTCTCCGAGTGCGCCAGCTGTGCGGGCGGGACGTACCAGGGCGAGTCGAACGCGACGAGCTGCCTTCCGTGCGTGGAGGGCAGCTACTGCGCCGAGGGCGCGTCGGCGCCGCTGCCGTGCGTTGCGGGCAGCTACTCGACCGCCACCAACCTCACCGCCGCGGGCGAGTGCACCGACGCCTCGCCGGGCCACTTCGCCACCACCGGCTCCACGCAGCAGACGGCGTGCGCCAAGGGGTCGTACACGGACGCGTACGGGCAGGGCGAGTGCACGCCCTGCGCCGGCGGCACGTACCAGGACGAGGAAGGCAAGACGGCGTGCGAGCCGTGCGAGGCGGGAAGCTACTGCGAGCCGGGCGCGGCGGCGGCGCTGCCGTGCGAGGCTGGCAGCTACTCGAGCGCCACCGACAACGACGAGCAGGAAGACTGCACGCCGGCCGACCCTGGCTTCTTCGCGGTGACGGGCTCCATTGAGCAGACGCCGTGCTCGCCGGGCACTTTCAGCGCTCTCGCCGGGCAGAGCATCTGCGAGAAGTGCCCTGCCGGCGAATACCAGGACTCGAGCGGCGCCACCAACTGCACCGCATGCGAGAAGGGCCATTACTGCGCCGAGGGCGCCTCTGCACCGCTGCCCTGCCCCGCCGGGACGCGCATCAACGCCTCCCTCGACCTCATGACGAGCAAGGACGACTGCATCACCTGTCCGGCCGGCACGTTTTGCCCGACCGGCTCTGATGACGCCACCGACTGCGCGCCGGGCACCTTCACCGCTCTCGCCGGGCAGAGCTTCTGCGAGAAGTGCCCTGCCGGCGAATACCAGGACGCAATCGGCACGACGGAGTGCAAGGCGTGCGAGAAAGGCAGCTACTGCGCTGCTGGCGCGGCGGCGGCGCTGCCGTGCGAGGCTGGCAGCTACTCGAGCGCCACCAACCTCACCGCCGCGAGCGAGTGCACCGCCGCCGACCCGGGCTACTTCGCGGTGACGGGCTCCACGCAGCAGACGCCTTGCGCCAAGGGCTCGTACACGAACGCGTCGATGCCGGTCAAGGGCAGCTGCACGCTCTGCGCGGGCGGCACGTACCAGCACGAGAGCGGCAAGACGGCGTGCAAGCCGTGCGAGCAAGGCCGCTACTGCGAGCCGGGCGCGGCGGCGCCTCTGCCGTGCGAGGGCGGCAGCTACTCGAGCGCGACCGACAACGACGAGCAGGAAGACTGCACGCTGGCCGACCCTGGCTCCTTCGCGGTGACGGGCTCCATTGAGCAGACGCCGTGCTCGCCGGGCACCTTCAGCGCTCTCCCCTGGCAGAGCATCTGCGAGAAGTGCCCTGCCGGCGAATACCAGAGTGGCGCGGGCGCGACGGGCTGCCTGCCGTGCTTGGAGGGCCATTACTGCGCCGAGGGCGCCTCTGCGCCGCTACCCTGTCCCGCCGGGACGCATACTAACCCCTTGCTGCTCGTCATGACAAGCAAGGACGACTGCATCACCTGTCCGGTCGGCACGTTTTGCCCGACCGGCTCTGATGAAGCCACCGACTGCGCGCCGGGCACCTTCAGCGCAAAAGAGGGGCAGTCCAAGTGCGAGTCTTGCCGTCCCGGCACTTCGTCGAAGGCAGGCAGCGACGCGTGCGACGAGTGCGAGGCTGGCAATTACGCCGCCAACGCTGGCCAGGGCCTCTGCGTCCCGTGTCCTTACCCCCTCAGCTCGGCCAAAGGCAGCACCATCTGCTCGTTTTGCATGGAGGGCTTCTACCTGAAGGACGCGAACGCCGTCCCAGACGACATCTTCAAGTCCCCGTCCGAGTACTGCAAGCCTTGCCCGGCGGACGCTACATGCCCAGACAACACTACCCTTTCGTCCCTCGTCATCCGGCGCGGCTTCTGGCGCGCCAGCCCCTCCTCCGCCGTGCTGACGGCGTGCCGCGACTTCGGGGGCGACAAGGCCGGCAAGACGCGATGCGCCGGCAGCGAGCCGGCAGGCGCCTCTGGCCGCCGCAGGATGGCGGAGGCTGGCTCGGAGTACTGCGCTTCGGACTTCACTGGCCCGGAGTGCCGGCTCTGCGCTGCGGAGAATCATTACCTCGTGGACGGTGACACCTGCGAAGTATGCGCTCCGCGCGGCGCCGCTGTGGGTCGCATCGTGGGCCTCGTCCTCGGCCTCTGCGTCGCGTGCGGCCTGGCGGCGTATTGCTACAGCATGGCGGACTGGCGGGAGAAGAGCTACATCGGCCCTATCCTCCGCTTTGCAGACCGCTCCGTCAAGTACTACGTCCTGGGCGGAATGACGGCAAAGCTCAAGATCCTCTTTGGCTTCTACCAGATCTGCACCGTCCTGTCCTCCACCTACTCGGCGCGGCTGCCGGCCAAGTACACGGACTGGACGGAGAAGCTGGCCAACTTGATCTCCATCGACTGGTCTGGCTTGTTTCTGCCGGAGCAGTGCCTCGGCTACAACCTGCGACTCCTCGCCATCGCTCTCTCCCCCGTCGCCCTCATCGCACTGCTGATGATCGCGGGAATAAGTCTGCGGCTCTGCCGCTGGCGTGCTGCCGCGGCGCCGCGGGAGAGATCGTGGTACGCGGAGGTGGCCCTCGGCCTCCTCGACCTCACGCCGGCCGGCCTCGTGCTCATCTTCTGCTTCGTGCCCTCCATCAGCGCCGCCATCTTCCGCTCGTGGTCGTGCCAGGAGCCGCCCCAAGCTGATGACTGCCGTTGCTCACAACCCCACCCCTCAGTCCTCGCGATGTTCTGCTGATAGGCCTACACCATCTCTCCGCCGAACGACCGCCTGGAGCAGGTCTCCTACATGCGGCAGGACGCGAGCGTCGAGTGCGGCTCCGACGAGCACGAGTCCATCACCGATCTCGCCACCGGTTTCATCGTCCTCTGGCCCACCGGCTCGCTGGTCCTCTTCACGTCGCTCCTCGCCGCCTGCTACAAGCCGCTGCAGGCCAAGTCGCCGAACGATCTGACGCGGGCCACTGCCTTCCTCCACCGGGAGTACGAGCAGACCTGGTACTGGTGGGAGGCGGTCGAGCTGGCGCGCAAGCTCGTGCTGACCGGTTTCGTGCTGCTGATACCGGAGGAGAACGCCTTTATTCGCCTGTTGGTGGCGACCCTCATCTGCTCCTTCTACGCCGTCGTACTCGCCGTCGTGCGGCCCTACAAGCGGGTCGAGGACGACGTGCTCGCCGTCGCAACGAGCCTCGTGCTCCTCCTCCTCTTCCTCGGCACCAACTGGACCACCATCTTCCTCGGCATCGAGGAGCGGTACCAGGAAGCCAACCCCGCCGATGTCCTCGGCTTCGGCAAGCTCAATGCGATCGTGGACACGATGATCGGCCTCGTCGCAGTCGTGCTCGTGTTCTTCTCAATCGGCGCCATCGTCGCCGCCCGCCGCGTCGCCAAGATCCCCACGATCCGACTCGTCTCGAACAAGCAGCCCCCCGAGCTGAGCATCGGGATGGGCCTCACGTGGCACCTCTTCAACAGCCACATCTGGTGAGTCATGGCGATGGAGGGAGAAGAGGAACGGGAACCCGCTAGAGAGTCACCACCACCTCCGAATAGGTCGACCGGTCAAGACGCCGTAAAAGTCATCAAGGGTGAGCTCCTGCAGCTGCTGCCGGGCGTCAAGATCTTTCTCGACGTGCGCAGATGATCAGCCGCGCTTCGGAGCTACACACCCCACCCCTCTGACCCACCGCGGTGTGTGTGCGCGCAGGTCGATGACCTAGAGGATATCGGGGCGCTCGAGGAGTACATCCAGCGCTCGCAAGTCATCCTCTTCTTCCTCTCGAGGGGCTACTTCCGCTCCAAGGCTCGCCTCTTCCTCCCACCCCGCCTCTACCGCACTCTGGCCTCACCTCCCGCCTCCCCCGCGCCTCAGAACTGCCTCCGCGAGATCCGCTCGTCGCTCGAGAAGGACAAGCCGCTCGTCCTCGTCCAAGAAGCGGACCCTGACAAGGGCGGCGGGACGCTGCAGGCGCTGCGCGACGAGTGCCCCGAGGACCTGCAGCCCGACATCTTTGACAAGGACTGGCCGCTCACGATCTGGTATCGCATTGAAGAGTTTCAGCTCGTCTCGCTCAAGATCATCGCCGAGGCGCCGCACGGGCCACAGCCAGCCGCTCCGCAGTCCCTCTCTCCCGACCGACTCCACTTGAACCACCCTAGGCGGTGCTCCTCTGCTCGCCCGCCTATCTGAACGAGGCCTCCCTCCCGCTCTGCGTGTCGGGCGAGCCCGAGAGCCAGCCGCTCGCCTTTTCCAAACCGTGCACGCTCTGGGCCTCGCCGGCCAACCCGGGGTCGCTGGAGCTGGCCAACGATCTCGCCGCCGCCTTTGCCGGCCTCACCGTCTCCACCGTTGCGGACGTTGGCTCCTCTGCATCAGCACGCCCCTCCACGGCACTTCGCGGGTTGGCACGCCGATCGCGCCGCGCCGCCGATGTGACCCACATGCTGTTGTACCTCAATCAGAATACCTGGCTGGAGGAGGACGGCGAGCGGCTGGCCGAGCAGGTCAAGCAAGCGCGCGAGGACAAGCTGAAGATCGTCATGGCGCACGAGAACGACCCCGCGCTCGGCGGCTGCCAGTTCTCGCGCTTTTTCGAAGTCACGCCGCAGGAGCGGATGTCTCACAGTGACGCCCGTCCCGAGCCTCCCCTCCCCCCACAACCCTCTCCTCCCAACGCCGCAGGAGCTCATCGCCGGCGGACTCTACAAGGACCTGGCAAAATCGTGCTTCCCGGGGCGCCACCGCAAGGCGCGCGCCCTCTCTCCCACAGCTCGACTTTGCCTTTCGTGACGAGCAGGGCCGTCCCTGCCCGCAGGTTTCGCTCGTGCTTCTGGCAAAGAGCCTAGGCGCGACCCCCGCTCGGTCGCGGGCGGACCTCCTCGTTTCAGGCAGCGTCGCTGAGGGCAGCACCAGCCTCGCGAAGCGAAGCTTTGGCGGCCTCAGCCGGGTGTTCGCCAAGATGAGCAGCCGCAGCTCTGCGGAGGCGCGCGACGTCTCTGCCGGCGAGGCGTCGTCGGTGCAGCGGCAGGTCTGATCGGTTGCGCGATCGTGCGCAAACGTGCAGCGCGGCGACACACAGGGGGGCATGACAATGTGTATGTGAGTGAGTGAGTCTGAGTGAGTGATCTTGACATTCTTGACGCAGGAAAAGAAAGAATATAACCAAACAGCGAACGTGTCCTTCAAAAAACAGCGAACGTCCTTCAACCGCCCACCGCTCTGCCCGCCCCCTGGATGTATTTGTTTTTCACAGCTGCCTGGCTCTCTGGGGGGAGGCGGGGGCCCCCGGAGGCACCGACCACCGTGTGTGCGCCGCGCAGCAGTGTGCGGAAACGGGGCCCCGCGGCGCGGCGCGCTCATACTGGCAGTATCATACTCGCTCATACTACCAACTTCCAGATTAAAGCTAGGTTAATCAGAGGGCAGATTTGGAGATATCTCGAGGAGTACATACAGATAGACCCTTCTAACCATCAGAAAACTCCAACCTGATCGGTCGTACTGACCGCCGAGACAGATCACTCCAGACAGCAGACAGGCCGACGTCTGCACGCGGCCGGCCGGGCGAGAGGCTTGACACGATCCGACCCTGCGATCCTGAGCTTGCGGCTTGGACTTACAAGCGTGCGGCTGCCAAGATCCTCGCCACGTCACATGTGTTTGGGTTTCTATGTTTGCGATTTGGGTTTTGGTCTTTGGATGTTCTGTCACTCTTTGTTTATTTGTTTTTCACAGCTGGCTGATTCGTTGTCCGACCGCTGGCTAATCGCTGGCGCTGCGGGCGTGTGCCGACAGCTCTCAGCTGCGTGTCGTCTGCTCGTCTGCTCTGCTCAGACCTCAGTCAGTTACGAGTTGGTTGCTTGCGGCTACGTCCAGCATGCTGCATGGCGGGCGGCGACATACTGACCGTGACTCATGTCCACAAGCCCATTAGTTCCAATTCACTCTGACACGTGCGAGGCTGGCAATTACGCCGCCAACGCTGGCCAGGGCCTTTGCGTCCGATCCATTCCCATCCACGTAGGAGGCTTGAGATCCCTCAGATGTAAATCAGTAACCAGCCTCCGGCGGGGCCCCCCATCCAAACCGAGTACAAAGCGCGCCTCCTGCGCGCCTCTCCGAGGCGCTGCGCAGATGGTCTATGATTCATAGAGGCTCAAGTGACAAGTCCACACACACACTTCAGGCTCAGACTCCACACCGCGGTCACGGGCGGGTGCCATCTGCCACACACAAAGAAACCCACCCACGACGCGGTTTGCTCACCCGCCGGTGCCTCTCCCTGATGGTCAAGAGGACGCCCGGCACTGGGAAGGGCGGCGGCGGCGGCGGCGGCGGCGGCGGTCCCGCCGAGAAGAAGCTCCAGACCAACAAGAAGGGAACCTTCATCTTCACCAAGGCCCGTGCTTGCCCAGCAGCACACACCGCTGGCGCAGCTCGCCAAACTCCCGGTCCTCGGCCATGCTCTCCGCGCAGAGCACGCCCTCGCCGCCCGCTCCGGTCGACGCTGGCGTGCGCATCGGCCCGCAGGTGGCTGACGGCCTCTTCGTGCAGCACAAGTGGGGCGCCAACTCGGGGCAGATTGGCATCCCGAACGAGTCACTAAAAGAGTTTGCGCAGCTGGTGCTCTCGATGAGCGGGAAGGGCGGCGGCGGGAAGGGCGCGGCGAAGCCGGCGTCCAAGGGCGTGGCCAAGAAGGAGAAGAAGAAGAAGGAGCCCGAGAAGAAGCCCACGGCGGAGGAGCTCGACGCAGACCTCGGCGCGCCCTCTCGCCGTCTTTGAAAGACTCGCGCCCGCCACACGCTCGAAGCCCGCGCAGCCCTGCTCGCAGCGCCACTCTCGCGGCCCCGCGCGCAGCGCTTCGCCATTGTCGCACCTCGCCGCACCCACCGCACCTGTCGCGTGTGCACCAGTCGCGTGTGCCCACCCTGCAGACCGCCCTCACTCCCACCCTACAGACAACCCTCAGCGCAGCTCTCTCTCTCTCCCCCCCCCCCCCTCCCCCCTTCTCCCTCTCACGTTTTCTCGCTCGCTCACTCTGATCAGCACCTGTGCTCTCCCTCTCTGTCCGACAGGCGCCTACACCTCCGGCCGCGGAGGAGTGGAGGAGGCGCCTGCCCCGGCAGCGGAGGCGGCCGCGTAGGGCTATCGACCGCGGCCGGGCGACCGGATGGTGCATGTCTCTCCCGGCCCGCCCTCTCTGCGGGCGGTCAACGTGTGTGGGTTGTGTTGGGCGCTGTTGAGTCGCGCGTCAAAACATATTTTTCTTTTTCATCCACAAACATAAATAAATAAATAAAAACGGACACCTCTCTACTGTGAGATGGGTAAAAAGGAACAGGCCCCCGCCCTTGCGATCTTTGTGCAGGGTTCTTTGTGGGTGTGGTCGGCGACTAGCCGGGGTCGTCCTCCCGATGGGGGACTAGCACTAGCCGTCTTCCACATGGTCCCTCGGGTCCCTGCTGCTCCTAATCTCTTCGTACATCCTCCTGCTGATCTCCGCAAAGTCCTGCTCCCTCCCTCGTCTCGCCCTGCGCGTCTGCTCCGCCTCACCGTCTTCTGCCCTGCGTCGTCTGGCGACGGGTCCTCCATAGTCGGTCGAGGTCGCCGCCCTCCTCGTGCCTCTTCCCAACGTTCCCTCGGCGGCCGATGCCGTCTGCTCCGGCTCCCCAGTCCCCGGGTCTGCCCTGCTCTCGTCTGCGCTAGTTTCTGCTTCGTCCTCACCGGCGTCTCTCCTCTTCCCTCTCCCCTTCTTGTATGCTTTGCACATCGCGTCGATTCCTGTTCGCGTGAGCACCAGCCTGAAGCCCGCCCAGCATCTGAACCGCTCCCTAAGTCGAAGGAGCATCATCAGTCTCACCCACTTCGCTCTCTGCCCACCGACTCCGCTCCCTCCCGCTTGAGCCGCCGTCGCGGCCCTCGTTCGTCCCACTGGCTGTTGGCCTGTTCCCACGTTACCTCCATTATCCCTCCTCCTCCGCGACTCCCTCAAGGCTGGCCGGGCCTCCTTCCACCCAGCGAAGAGCTTCCTCAGCCACTCGATGTGTTCCTCTCTCTTCATTATGCGTGCCGTAGCCTCATCATTGAGCTGGATCCACCTCTGCACCGCTCCCGTCGCCGCCTCGGCCACGACTTGCAGGTTCCTCGTGACCCCGGCGCCAAGGTCCCTCCGACTCTTCTCCGGGAGATCATCTACCAGCGCCGGCAACACCCCCCCGACGGCTGGTGCTAGTGCATCGTACCCGTCCTCATCCAGCACCCTATAGCGTGAGCCCTTCAGCGCAGCGACATGCGCTATTCTCAGCGTCTTCAGCGTATCCTTCGCTGGACATGCGGCTCCTCACCGTGTGTATGCATCTCACAGCTTCCCACGCACGCGGCAGGCAATGCTCGACTTTAATGACATCTTCGGCGAGCACGCCAAGTTTGTGGACGACAAGGAACGCAAGGACAAGTGGTTCTCATACCTCGACAAGAAGATTGCCGCTGGCGGCACGGGCTGGGCCGCCGGCACCGCGTCCCCGACGATTGCCGACTTCCACGGCGTGTTTGCTTTCGAGTGGGTGGTCAAGAAGCAGATCGACTTTTCGGAGTACAAGAGCCTGACGGCCTGGTGGGACAAGATCAAGGCCTTCCCCGCCGTGAATGAGCTCTATGCCTCGTGCGTCGACGGGCGGACGATGATTCCCTGATCGCACGCGTCCGCACGCTAGCAAATGCCTTTCGTTTGCATTGGTCGCGGTTCCAGGTTTCGGGCTCCTTGCCGTCGCTAGCTCTAAAACTCGGCCCCTACCTACCTATCTGTGTCTCAAGGTCCGACAGGTTCGGCACCGGGCACAAAATGCGCCTGCGGGCGGACCCTCACAGATCACAGATCACCTCTATCTGTGTGTGGCACGGGCGGGGACCTGTTCCTTTTTACCCATCTCACAGCAGTAGAGAGAAGAGAGGTGTCCGTTTTTATTTATTTTATCTGTGTGGCTATCTGGAGTTCTGGAGAGAGCCGTCGCGGCCCGGGGCGGTGCAGGGACGGGCCGAGAACTCCGCAAAGCAATGGCTTTGGCAAAAGGAACGCGCGATTTGTGAGACGCGGCAGCGAGGACAGCGGAAAGCTGTGCGACCGTACCCGCCCTACCTAACACCTCCGTGAAGACGCCCCCCCGCAATAGGTAGGTAGGTGGGGCACGGAGCCTGGCGGTTGGCGCCCGCGATAGGGTAATGGAAAAAGAATTTAAACAAAACAACTCTCTCTCACAGCACACACTACTATCACCAGCACACCATGGAAAAAGAATTTAAACAACGGAACTCTCTCTCACAGCAGACAGGCTCGACACAGGTAGGTGTGGCCCTGTGGGTGAAGTCTGGAGCTTCCGGGGTGAACTCTGGACTGCCGCCCGCCACACAGGGTAACGCCCTCTGCCTCTTCGCCCGCCCTCTGCCGCCTCCGCTCTCCTCGCACGCGCTGTCGGCGACGAGACCGACCGCCGCTCACCCCCTCGTGTGCCACCGCAGGGACGACACCCTCGCGCGACGTCTTGAGCTGGTGCGCGTCGCGCTCGGTCGCCGCGTGCCCGCTGGCCACCGATCGCCGCCGCTCACTGCCGTCTCCTCTCCCAACCCCACCCCGCCCTGCCCTCAGAGCGTGTCTCCGCCACTCGCCTCGATCTCCAGAGGCGCGCCCCCACCCCCGTTCCACCCCGCTCGCCACTCAGAGACGCGTGTCGCGGTCGGCGCCCGTCGTGCGCGTGCCGCGCCACCCCCCCCCTCCCCCCCCTCCCCCCCTCACACATCCATCCGCACGCAGAGCATGCCAGCGACCGCGACCGACGTCGTGCCATACGTCCGCGCCGAGTTTGCCCCCGACGATGGAGCCGTCCGCCTCCGCCTCGCTCATGGTCCAACTTGAAAACTTGTGCGGCGGCTCACCAGGGGGTAGTCAACCCTAGGCTCACCCTCCATATGGAGGTGTGAATGTGAAAAAAGAAATCAGTTTACATACCACCCTTCCCCAACTGGTCATTTATTTTTGGCTTTCGCGCCTAGACATATTTAGTACACCACCCCTTTGTTTTTATCTGTGGCGGGCGAAACTTGCGGCGCGGGCGCAACGCGGGCGCTGCGGCGGGGGGGTTTTTGGCTGAAAAGTATGGCCTCGAGGGCCAGCACACGCGGCGCGAGCCTACGTGCAGGCAGTATGCAGCCCGTAGGGCGCGCCGTCTTTACCGTGACACCCCAAGTCTTTGGTACGACGTCGGAACAGCTGCTCCACGGGACGAGCTAAAGGTAGCCAGGTCCTCCGAATCCGCCTTGGCCAGTCGGTGGCGGCGGCGGCTCGGGCTTGAGCCGGAGCATCGCATACTTTGTCGGCTTGGAGGCACACCGAACAATCTTTTTTTGCGACTCGAGACTCTGCAGCAGTGATACGAGATCAGATTCGTGACCGGTGTCGGGAAGAACACCGCGTGCCGGAACGTAACGTCCATTGGTGCCGAGCTTCTCAGCAATCTTCTCGACAATGTCCCTTCGGGTGACCTTGTCCTTGGCATCCCTTGTGAACTCAAAAGATTCGTGAAAACAGTGCTGCACAGTCATACCGGTGGTGCCCATGGTTCGTTTGTGCTCCCAGAAGGATCCGTAACTTTGTGCCAACGGCTCGATAAACGATGCAGCCTCGGCAAACGAACCGAACTCACCTCCGCCTTCTGACTTGAACGGTGCTTCATTCGTCATGCTACGCCACCATGTCTCTTCGCACAGTGATGGATCGAGCTCCTTGGCCTGTCGATACTGCTTCAACAGACAGTCATTTGTCTTCATCAGCTCATGATCTTTGATCATGTCGTGCTCGGGAATGAAGTATCCTAGCAACTTCTTCACATCAATGCGGCGCAAGTACTCCACGTACCATCCCGCGTGGTAGCGGATGATGGCGACTTTGTGATTGGGCAGAGCCTTCAATTCTTCAACGATGGGGCGTTTGGTGAAGTATTGTGTCCGTGGAACCAGAGGCGCTGCCTCCTTGCCCATTTGCTGACGAGCACGGTCTGCTGCAGCCTCGTTCGCCTCGGCCTCAGCGTTCAGCCGCGCTAGCTCTGAGGGATTAACAAACAGGCTCGGAAACTTAAAGCTTTTGATGAGGGCGGGCGGGCGGGTGAACGGCCGGCCACCGGAACTTCTCGGAAAAGTCTCCGGCGCTGCGCCAACGCCGCCTCTAGCGCGGCCTTACTGAGCATCCGCTCAGCTCTCTCGAATTCTTTTATGAGAGGTTACAAACTGACTTCGTCCGGACGAAGTCAGTTTGTGACTCCCCTCACCCTCTGGTGAGATCGGTCACCTGGTCAACCGGTGGGACAAAACTCGCAAACTGACTTCGAAACTGACTTTTCTTTTTTCACACCTCCATATGGAGGTGTGAATGTGAAAAAAAGAAATCAGTTTGGTACCCATTCATAGGTCATCCACCTGGCTATCGGGTGAGCCGACTTTTTTCCAGACTTCACCCAGAGTTCACCCAGACCGTACACAGGTGCGAATGCTCATAACTCGGCACGCTGCAATCCTCGCCGCCGGGCTGCTGCTGCTCACGCCGGTCGCAGGCGCTTTTCTCTTTCTCGGTCGTAGACTGCGGCGACGTGCGTTGCGGAGCGCCCGCTGCACGCTCGTCGTGAAGCTAGGAGGATCGGCTGTCACCGACAAGACGTGCTTCGAGACCGTCCGTGTTGCAGCTCTGCGAGAGACGGCGTGCGCGCTGTCGCGGTCGCCGCTCCTCGCCGGCACGGTACTGGTCCATGGCGCGGGCTCGTTTGGCCACTTTCACGCTCGGGAGCACGGTGTCTCGCGCGGCACGGCGCACAGCGCCTTCTCGTGGCGCGGCTTTGCGCTGACGAGATCGTCGGTCACGCGGCTGAACGGCATCGTCCTCACCGCGCTCCTCGAGCAGGGGATCGCGGCCTGCGGCCTCCCGCCCTTCCCGCGCTGGGTCTTGTGCGGCGGTGCGCTGACCGACACAGACGAGCCGCTCGGAGAGGTGCGCAGCCTGCTCTCGCGGGGCGTCGTGCCTGTGCTGCACGGCGACGCGGTCTTTGACGAAGCCCGCGGCGCCGCCATCCTGTCTGGCGACACACTCGTCGAGGAGCTGTGCGCAGCCTAGACGCGGGAAGGACACGTGACCTTGAGGAGAGAGGCAGGGCTCGGCTGTCCTCTCCGCTACTCGCGCCGCACTCGCGCCGCACTCCCCGCCACCATCGCGCCACTCCTTCCGCACCCGCAGCTCTTGCACTCGAGACGCTAAGATCGGGTGCTCGACACACTTCTCACAGCCTCAGCGGCGAGAGCCCCCCTCTTCCAGGTGTGCCGCTCTCCGCCCGACCCGCGCCGTCTTCCTCACCGGAATCCGCGCCTGCTAGACGCCTGCTAGACGCCTCCTAGACGTCTCCTAGAAGGCGCCTGCCGCCCTCCGCCCGACCCGCGCCGTCATCCCTCACAGACGTGGCCGGCATCTTCCACCGCCCGCCCGGCGAGGACGGCGCAGCGCTCCTCCGCCGGATCGTCGTCGGCCCGTCTGGCGAGGTGGTCGACTTGCCGCAGATGCGGACGGCGGCGCACGACGTGACGGGGGGGGTGGCCGCCGAGCGGAGCGCGCCCGCAGCTCTGCACGCCTTTCCGTCGTTGATTCCGGCCGCGCTTCTCGTGTGTAGGTTGCGGCGAAGCTGAGCGCCGCAGCTCGCGTCGCGGCAGGCGGGGTGCCTGTGGTCATTGTCGAGGTTGGGACTGTGCACGCCGAGGCTGCGCTGAGAGGCGAGTGGCCCGAGCGCTGCACAGTCGTCACAGGCCGTGGTGAGACGCGGCATACACGTGCATGTGCTTGATGCTTGTTGCTTCGGAGTAGAGAGACTACTGTAGCCGGTGAGCGGTGTACAGTACACAATACGCGCGGGTGGTGCGGAGAGGTGTTGGGTACCTCGCTCGTCGCTGTACACAGTAGAGTATCACCCCGCTGGGAACGTCCGGGTGTTGGAAGTAAAGATATAAACATTCTTTTTCATGCGTGAATTACGCGGACAAGGGACATGCTGGACCAAAACGTGATGGAAGGATAATGCGACGGGGTCGTCGGCTCGGGTGACGGGGTCGAGACACAAAACACACTCCGTTGTGCGCTAGAGGAGCGTTGGACCGCGCCCGCGGGCCGACCCGCGACCCCGATGCGTGCACGCAAGAAGACACGGGGAATCCACACAGGAACCCCGACAGAACAAAATGCGCCGAACAGCTCCCGTGCGCATGCGGCAGTGCTCGAGAGATGCGGCTGCTCGCGGGGGCGCGGCGCATGGGCATGCTCCTGGCCCACGCCGACCATGCGGGGCGGCGGGCGATCCTTCCTCTTTGGCCGCCTGCCCGCCTCCTGGCTACAAGAAGTGCAGGGCCACGACAGCAGCCACCGCCAGCACAGCGGCGAGCGGCGGGCCGTCGCGATCGGCCGCCTCCTCCGCCAGCGCCGCGCTCTCCGTGGCCGCCGCCGCGTTCACCTGCGCCGCCGCCGCCGCCGCCGCTCCCTGGGGGACGTACCCCTTGGAGGCCCAGAGGTGGCCGTGCAACACCAGCTCCGTCTCCTCAGTCACCTAAGACCAGGGGGCAAGGGCAGGTGCAGGTCTGCGCACAGAACGAGGTGGTGGTGGAGCGTGGTGCCGCGCGGCCCTCGCATCTCCACGTCAAAAGACAGGAGGTGGCAGGGCAGCTCAAGTGGAAGGGGCCCGGTGCGCGTGAGGTGTGTCTGGCTGGCTGGCTGTCTCTCCCTCGCCTCGAAGAATGGCGCGTCCGACGACTGCGGTACAAACCCTTCCGGCATCGAAGGCCGCGCCGCCGCCGCCGCCTCCGCCGCCGCGAAGCCTTGGGGCACGTACCTGTCCAAAGCCGGAGGGTGTGAAGAGAGAGGCCGTTCACAGAGCCGCCGCCGTCCCTGCCCCGCCAACACACCCGGCCGGGGCAGACTGCTTGGGCGGCGTGAGCAGCGCGGCCGCCCGCCGCCCCCGCCGTGCGATCGCGGCGGCACCCTCCACCTTGAGCGACGCAGCCTTGGCGGCGACCGCGTCCGCCGCCGCCGCCGCCGCCGCCGCGCCCTGAGGGACGTACCCCTTGAGCGGCGCGGGCAGGAAGCCGGGCAAGATGACTTCCGTCTCCTCGCTCACCTCGAAGAAGGCGAGCCGCGTCGCGTCCTCCGCCTCGTCGTACGCCTCGGCGTCGGCGTCCTCCGCCGCGAGGAAGAAGGCCGCCTCGTCCTCCTCCTGCGGGGCAGGGCTTGGGCGTGAAGGGCGCATGACCTCTTCGCGAGGGAGACGGGACGTGGCACCCCCTTGGAGGATGTGGCACCCCCTCGCGCCAGCGCACCTCGTCCTCTGCCGCGAGGGCCGCCCCGCCCTCCATCGCCTCGGCGCGAGCCGCCGCCTCCTGCTTGTGCGCGGCAACGTCGGCCAGCCAGTCGTCGTGCTCGGCCCTCGCCGCGGCGGCCTCGTCCAGGAGGCTCGCCACCTCCTTTGCCGCCTCTGCCACGTCGACCTGGAAGGAGAGCGCCTCTGCCTCGTCAAAGACCTCAGCCACCCAGCGATCGGCCGCGTCGGCTGCGTCGGCGTTTGGAGAGGAGAGGTGTTTAGTGATGCGGAGAGTGATCTCGCGTTTGTTTCCTGTGACCTTGAGGCCGGCCTTCTTTGCCAGCTGCACAAGCTGTTTCTTCGAGAGACTCTGAATCTCGGACGCTGCCGCTGCCGGTAGGTGGCCCTCGGCCATGGAAGCCGCGCGCACGGCGGCGGGCTTTGTCAGCAAGGGCCCCGGCGCGGAGGGCACGAAGGCGGTGACGCCCGCGGCGAGCAAGAGGAGGACACCAAACATCACCGTTGGCTGAAGACACTGATTGCTCTGGCGGGGCATTTTCACCCTCTTTTTTTCCCGCCCACAAGGCCCCAGGAATTGCGACTCCGCTTTCCTCCCGCTGTGATCCTGTGTGGGCTCTCTCTGTGCTTGTTTCAAGGCTGCACCACCTTGCTGTCCACCCTCGTGTGGCGCCCCTCGACCTCTCCTCCTTCCTTCTTCCTCCGCGTCTGTCTGTCTGTCTGCTTGGGATACCCATCACTGAGCCGACAATGCTACGGGTAGCCCCAGGGTGGCGCCCACCCCCATACCCTCGGGCACTTGCCTGCGCCCTCACTTGGGTAGGTAGGTAGGTAGAAAGGTGAAGAACAGCCAGGCTCGGACTGGACACCAACGCGGTATGGGTGGACGCTGGACAGATGATGACTTGGGCTCAACCAGGTTTCCGAAAAAAAACAAAAAGGAAAACAGAGGGTCCCCAGCACTTTGCGTTTCCGGAAATTTCCAGGGAAAACAGAGGGTGTTTGGTGCTCCATTCTGGAAACTAGGCCGGCGCTCCTTGCGGGCTCCGGTGGGCGGCGGCACCCTTCCTTGAGCTTTGTGGCACCCCCCCCCTCTCTTGGCGCTTTCTTAGTGCCCAGTGTTGTGCGAGGGAGTTTTGTTGTAAAATTCTTAACCTGTTTAAATTCTTAACCTAGATGTTAAGTCTGTATTTTGTGTATTTGGACTTGGGCTAAAAACACAGTGTATTTTGTGTATTTGCTCCCACAAAGCCAGGATACACACTCGATGGGGACCACTAGGGATACCCATCACTGAGCCGACAATGCTACGGGTAGCCCCAGGGTGGCGCCCACCCCCATGCCCTCGGGCACTTGCCTGCGCCCTCGCGCACTAGCCCACGCCCTGCCCCGCAAGATCTCACTCCATCCCGGCCTGCGGCATACCTCGGCACCCCCTTGCACGGAATCTGAGCGTGAGGGAATCTGAGTGTGAGGGAATCTGAGCGTGAGGGAACCTGTGGGCAGTACCGCGTAGTGCGGGGTGCGCGGGCGTGCGCGGGCGTGCGCGGGCGTGCGCGGGCGTGCACGCGGGCGTGCGCGGGCGTGCACGCGGGCGTAGTGCCGCGTGCGCGCACGTGCGCGGGCGTGCGCGCGCGTGCGCGGCGTGCGCGCGTGCGCGGCGTGCGCGGGCGTGCGCGCGCGTGCGCGGCGTGCGCGGGCAGGGCGCAGGCAAGTGCCTGAGGGTATGGGGGTGGGCGCCACCCTGGGGCTACCCATAGCATCGTCGGCTCAGTGATGGGTATCCTAGATCCTACCAGCGCGCCGCAGGCGAAGGAAAATCATAGTCTGAGGGTTAGGTTTCTGGAGCCTCGGGTGCTTTTACGCTTTTGATCGGGTCAGGGGAGAGTGCGACTTTTACCACTTTGGTCGTCTCGGAGCGCCCAACTTTTAGCATGTTTCAAAAATTTCTTCGGCGCTGCGCGCCGCGGGTGCAGCAAGTACTAGCTACCCCTATCGTCCCGCAACGGCAAAGTAGTTCCCGCACACTATGGCTAAAAAAATGCTGCCGCTCGCCCCTCGAAAGCGCCCGCCGGTGTGTGTCCAAACATGTAGCGCTACAAGTTTGTGACACATAAGGACGCATCCTCCCACAACACTTCACCCGCTGGCTTGGTTGCAGCTGCCGAGGTACCATCTGCCGGCTTGGGGGGGCTAGTGGCATTCGCCGGAGAGTAGAATGTCCAAAATTTTCGCGCGCCTGCGGCGGCGCGACTTTTACCATTTTGCCCCGGGCGGGCCCACTTTTGTCGTTTTGCCCCAAATCTACGGCTAGCCCCGTGCTTTTAGCGTTTTGACCCAAATCGGCCGAACTTTTAGGATACCCTCAGACTATGAGGAAAATTTGCCGTATTTCGTGAGTTTTCATTGGTTTTTCGCAGCTTTGACCAACATTGCGTCGAACTCATCGGCGCGGGCTCTCTCGGCTACGGGACCGGCCCCAGCTTCGTTCGGCTGAGGGCTAACAAGCTGCCGAGCCCAAATCACCGAGAGAGATTTTTAGCAATACCTTTGTGTTTTTGTCCAAATCACTGTGAGAGTCGTGATTTCTTGTTGGTTAATAAAAATCTCTCTCCCAACATTTGACCTTGGGAGTCGGTCACTTGAAGACAGGTAATTGAGCTTTTTGGTATTTCGGATTGGACTTGTGCATGTGACTCCCTGGTCTGTCATCAATCAAGCGACCTGGTCTGACGATTGGTCTGCCAACCACCGCCACCACTGTGTATTTGGCTGTGTATTGCTGTGAATTTGCTCACAGGCCACAAACACACAGTGTATTTTGTGTATTTGCTACCCCCACCCTGTGTATTTAACATCTATCTAGGTTTCTTAAGCGCCTGAGCTCCTCCCGAGGCTGAGCTCCTCCCTGCATCTCCGCAGAATATCCCTTGTAACGTGAGAGAGTGCGTTGTGTTCTCGTTTTCTATCGCTTTCTCTTGTTTTCCCAACCCCACCCGGGGGAAAAGAAAGAAAGAAAGAAAACAGACAACCCAAGGGAGGGATGGGAGAACGGCACGCCGCCACCACACAGGGATTTTAAGGAGAGGGGTGTGATGCGCTAGCCGTCGCCTACCCTAGGGAGTCTGCCTCTTCCTATCTCTCTTCGCAGTCTCTCTCCGATTCTCGCTTCAACCTTCGTGCCACCTCGCGGCCGTCCCACTCTCGTCGCTCTCTCCCTTGTCACTTCCTCCTCTGTCGCGTCGTTCTCTTCTGTCTCGTCCTGCGGCGCCGCCGCCTGCCGGTCCCTTGTTCTCGCGGCTTCTTTCGCCTTTCGGCGCAACTCCGTCCTCCTCGCAGCGTATCCTGGCCCCTCGAGTCTATCGAGCTGGGTGGGGGGCGGGGGGGGGGGGGGGGGACCCATATACTTCGTTTTTCCCGCTGCAGCAAGGTGGCTGCTCGTCTGTTCTCGCCGCGCCCTGCGCCGCAGTTCTCGCCGCCCAGATGGGCAATTGCTCCTCCTCGCCCGCGGGCCGCGATCGAGACTCCAAGGACAGCGACGCACGGCGAGCCGCGCCGCCCACCCGCTCCCTCACCTTCAAACTCAACCAGCTCGACGAGCAGCTCAGCAAATCGGCTCCTTCGCCGGATGCGCAGCTGGCCGAGCGGCTCGCCGAGCCCAAGAAAGTGCGCGAAATGTGCGGCCCGGCGGCATTCGTTGGCGGCCTGCATGCCGTGGTGGGCGCGGCAAACACCGCAGTCATGGAGACGATGCAGGAAGAGCACACGATCCGGCACGACAGCCGGGTGCCCTTTGAGTCGGATTCTCTCCTCATCGAGACGACGAGCGAGACGGAGTTTTGGTTCGTCCTCGACCCCGTCGGCGGCCTGGGCAGGCTCGGTCTCGAGCGCTGGCCAGAGGAGGGCCCCGGTGCGCGCCGCAGCTGCGCCAGCGGCCGCTCGCTCGAGGAGCTGCTGGGCGCCGCGAACAAGCGGCAGCCGCTGCCGCACGCGGCCTTCTGCGAGCGGATGCGAGGCCACAACGAGATGCTGCGGCAGCACGGGCTGGCGGAGCTGCTCGAGGAGGAGCTGATCGGCGGCCGCCTCTTCACGGGGCCGATGAATGCAAAGTACCAGGCGGCGCTGCGGGCGCTCGATTCGGCGGACGCGGGAAGGCGGCGCAAGTTTGTGCAGCTCTGCTCCGACCCGCAGACGCTGTCGCAGTACGAGGCTGCGGTCGAGGCCGACCCGGAGGGGGCGTGGGCGGCGGCGCGGATGCTGCTGCACCAGCCACAGAGCCTGAACACTGGGTTCGGTACTCTGGAGGCTTGGTACTAGGCGCGGATGCTGTGCACCAGCTACTCGACCACTCTGCACGTGATCAAGTCGCTCCTCCTCCGGCTTAGCAAGCTCTCGCGCGCCACGCCCGTCTACCGCGCCCTGCACGGCGAGGCGCCGCTCGCACCGCACTCGCAAGAGGGGGGGGGGGGGGGGCACGGCTGCAGCGGCGAGGCGAGGCGAGCCTTGTTCGGAGCCGCTCTTCTAGGCGCCGCCGGCCGCGTTTTGGCGCGAGAGGTTCGGCGCACGTGGCGGTATCGGCCCCTAGATGCGATGATAGATGCGACGACTGCCCAGGCCCACACACCCGCACGCGGCGAGACTCGCGCTCGCATGTCTTGGACTGCACTGCAGCCGCCTCCTCCCGCTGCACGACCTCCTCCCTCTTCTCCTCTGGCTCTCGTGTGCTGATGGAGCGTGCGCTGATGGAGCGTGTGCTGATGGAGCGTGTGCTGATGGAGCGTGTGCTGATGGGGCGCAGGTGTCGACCCAGGCTTCTTCTCCGCGTGCCCCGACCGCGCCGCCGCCGCCCTCGCCGCCCGAGGCTCGCCGCGTGTTTGGGGTGCCAGCCTTCCGCCACCCTCCCGCGAACCTTCTCGGAACTGTCCGGCAGGCTCGCAACACGCTCCCGGCGTGCTGCTCGAGATTGAGCAGGGCCTGGTCAGCCGCGGCGCAGACTTGGGCTGGCTGTCGCAATACCCCCCTCCCGACGGCGCGTGCGAGCTCGTGTTCCCGCCCCACACGGCGCTCGACGTGGTTGAGGTGGGCGAGCGGCTTGGGGGGTGGGGGGAGGGGGGGGGGGGGGTCTGGATCCTCTCGGCCACCTCTCGGCTACATCGGCTGCCTCTGGGCTGCCTCTGGCTGTCTCTCGGCTGCACTTCGGCTGCACCTCGGCTGCACTTCGGCTGCACCTCGGCTGCACCTCGGGCGGTCCCACCTGCAGGTGGTCGACGAAGGCGAGACGCTGGTCTTCCGCTGCCGCGCGACGGTGAGCTTGTGCGGCCCCCACCCGTCGGCAAGTCCGCGGGCCCCGGCACGGAAGCTTCTCGGGACGTTCGCATAGGTCAACCGGAGCGACCTCGCCATCGACAAGGTTGCGGGCAGTACCCTCGGGCGGTCTCGGGTGATCTCGGAGGATCAGATTGCCTCTCGCCATCGACCAGGTTGTGAGCACCAAGCGGGACGGGCTCAACTGCATCATGACTTCGATGAAGTTCTCTCTGATGCGAGAGATTGCCGACGAAGCCGACGCGCGGCTCGCTGCTCAGGAGATCACACGAGAGCAGATCTGAGACCGCACGAGATCACACGAGATCACACGAGATCACACGAGATCACACGAGATCACACCAGAGGCCGAGTCGCGCGCCCAGGCCAGCTTCCCCTGTTCGCCCTCCCTCCTTTTCCTCTTCTGCACCTCTCCGCACCTCTTCTGCACCTCCCCTGCACCTCCCCCCCCCCTCCCCTCTCTCCCCCGCTCAGGAGTTCCACGCCCTCGTCCTCGGCCCCGACGATGACGGCCGCCCCTTCGCAACGGTCCGCTCGTGGGCAAACATCAGCGGGGTGTGCCGCACCGGCACGTTCCCAGCGCGGGACGGCTACAGCGGCGGCGACAGCGGCGGCGACAGCGGCGGCGACAGCGGCGGCGACAATGGCGACAGCCGCGGCGAGTCGCCGCCCTCCCCGCTCCTCCGGCGCGACGCGGACCCGCGCATCTACAACGATGGCGCCGAGGCCGCGGAGACGCTGCGGGCCACGCCTTCCTGCGTCTGCAATGGGGGGCCAGCTCTCCTCTGTAGGCGTCACGTTCTCCGAGACGCTGCGGGCGATGCAGGCCGCGCAGCAAGAGGTGCTGCAGCGGCGGAAGAGGCACGCCTTCATGGTGGCGCCGCGGCCGGGCGCGCGCAGCGTCGTCTCGATCTCCGAAAGGAACCTTCTCGGAGCTTTCCCGGAACCTTCCCTCCTTGCAGGCGCGAGCGCCGTTCCCCTCGCCGACCTCGTCCTCGCCTTCGCCTCGGCGGAGCTGGAGAGGCTCAAGTCGCGCGACGGCGCGCCCGGCTTCGCAAAGTTCGCCGACGCGCGGCTCGCTGCCCTAGATGCGGGACGCAGATCCCAGATCTCCCCAGATCTCCCCAGATCTCCCCAGATCTCCCCAGATCTCCCCAGATCTCCCCAGATCTCGAGGCTCGAGACGGCACGTACCCACGCGATGCGTTGAATACACGGCACGACACACCGCACTCGCGCTGACGCCGGTGTGCTGGCGACGCAGGCTCGTCACGGGGCGCCCTCTCGAGGCGGCGCTCGGCAACGACACCCGTAGATGCCGATCCCCCTCCCGGCTAGCGGCTGTGGAGGCCGCCACGCCGCTGGAGCACGCCGTATGGTGACACCATCCACGAGCACAACGTCACGAGCACAATGGCCGTGGGCAGGTCAATGCGTGATGCCGTCCTCACCGCCCCCCCCCCCCCCCCTTGGTCACGGTCGCCGTACACGAGTCGCGCCGTCCGCTGTCTAGCGTCCGCCGCTCGTGTGCAGGCGCGCACCCGTTCCCGGTGACGGTCGCCTTCATCAACGACGGCATCAAGAGGCTGCGCCCCGTCGGGGCAGGCGCCGCACCTCTCTCGACAGCCCCTCTCTGCACCTGGCCTCGGGCCCGCTCCTCTAGGCTGCGCGCGGTCGGAGCGGGCGCGGCCGACGCGTCGGAGCGGCGCGACTTTTGGCGCGGGCTGCGGAACGTCGCGCTTCCGGACGGCTTCCACCAGACGGGCGGCACCGAGTACGCGCCCCTCTCGACCTCGTCCGACCTCGAGGTTGCGCTGCACTACTCGGACGCGGCGCAGGAGCGGCTGCTCTTCAAGCTGACCACGGCGTCTTTCCTCGAGCGCGGCGCGTCGCTGCAGTTTCTCTCCGCCTTCCCGGGCGAGGTCGAGTACCTGTACCCGCCCCTCACCTTCCTCGACCCGACCGGCAAGGTGGAGACCATCACCACGACGTGCGGCGTCAAGTTCTCCGTCATCGAGGTCCAGCCGAGGATATGAGAGGCAAGTGAGTGAAGACAAGTTGCGGAGCCTTTGATTGTATGTAGACTAGATGCTGCTGTACCCACACCTCTTCGCGTATATACCGTACTTTAGGAGTGTTCGTTTTGTGCAGATAAGAGATGCGTGCGTAAAAACTCGTAGAGCCTTAGCTCCGCGCCGCGTAGGAGAGGCGCTGTACGACGTTACTGATACTGTAATCTCTCGCACATTTTGATCGATCCCGGATCCCGCGCGATCGCTCGCGGCGAGACGTTTCTATTTTTTCTCCATTATGAGGATTGAGCTATCTCGTCCTGAAAGACCATTGCACGCTACTGTAGTGGGCGACGGTTCGGCGGCGCGCTACGCCGCCGCGGCGGCGGGAGCGGCGGCGGGCAGGCCGAGCAGGACTCGGTCGAGCCTCGCAAAGTCGTCCACCAGCGCGAGCAGCGGGAGCAACGGCGCGCCGGCGGCGAGCGGCGACGCCGCGAGAGTGGCCGCCTCGGCGGGCGCCACCTCGCAGCCGCCGTTTGCCGCGCAGCGCACGCCGACCACGCGCAGCCCCGCCCCCTGCGCGGAGCGGATTCCCGAGAGCGAGTCCTCAAACGCGACGCACTGCGCCGGCTGCAGGCCGAGCCTGCGCGCCGCCTCGAGGTACGGCCATGGCTGCGGCTTGTGCTGCGCGCAGTCGGGATCGTCGCCCGCGATGATGAAGTCGAACGCGTCCACCAGCCCGAGCGCGGCGAGAGCCTTCTCAATGTACCCGCGCGAGCCGCTCGAGACGACGGCGCACCGCAGCCCCGCCGCTCTCAGCTCGCGCACGAGCGCCACGGCGCCGGGCGTCGCCTCGAGGCGGCCGGCCGCGATGTGCTCCTCGAAGAGCTCGGCGCGCCGGCGCAGGAGGTCGTCGATCGTCTCGCCGGGCTTCAGCCGCCCCGCGGGCAGGTGCGCCTCCATGATGTCTCGCGGCGCGCGGCCGATGCACGCGTCGGTCCAGTGCTGCTCGCTCAGCTCCACGCCGAGCACGGCCGAAAACGACTTGCGGTGCACGTCCTCCGACTGGCACAGCGTCCCGTCAAAGTCCCACAGAGCGGCGAGGCAAGGCGGCGCCGGCGACGGAGCAGCGGAGCCACCACGCAGCGCGAGGGCGGCGGTAAGCCGACGGTCGGCCAGCAGCGATGGCACCTTGCTCGGCGCAGCGAGAGCGCACCCGCAGAGGGCGGCGCTGAAAATGGTGCGCTTGCGGGCCATCTGTGGTGCGGCTTCGGAGACGCGGGCGCGGAGCGACACTTGGCCAACCCACGCCGGGAGGGAGGAGGGGGCGACGCGAAAAGAATTTACGCGGCGTTACGGCCCTTTCCCTGCTTTTATTGGCCGCGAGGTGGCATGAAGGTTGCAGCGAGAAGCGGCGAGAGACTGCGAAAAGAGATACGAAGAGGCAGACTCCCCAGGGTGGGCGACGGCTAGCGCACCACACTCCTCTCCTTAAAATCCCTGTGTGGTGGCGGCGTGCCGTTCTCCCATCCCTCCCTTGGGTTGTCTGTTTTCTTTCTTTCTTTCTTTCCCTGCTTTTATTTATTTATTTATTTATTTATTTATTTCCCTGCGAACGCGCACCCCCGGGGCTCGGGCTTTCTTGCCCGCAACCCGATCCCGATCATCCGGCCCGCTGGCAACCCTGTCTGCACGTCTCGCGCGCGCGTGAACAGGGCTCCAGGCCCCAAATTACGTGTGAGTGTTAGAGTTGTTTGGTATTGCTAAAAATCTCTCTCTCGCGCGCGAGACGTGCATTGCACGACTGTGCCCACCGACGCTTCCCCAGCACATGCTCGACGCGTACGACGGCGCGCTCGCCACGGTCAAAAAGTACCTCCCGGCGCACGGCGTCATCGATCGAGCTCAAACTGCCTAGATGTGATCCGCCTAGATCCGAGGCGGTTTCACAGCGCACCTCGATCAACCCCCAGAATACAGCTCCACTCACACCAGCCCAGGGACAAAGAATTGGCAACAGCCAGCCGACCCGAAGGGTCCATTCACAGCGACAACTGTGAACGGTGACTCGAAAGAACCGAGACCGTCCGACCGCCGCACGCGGAGAGCGAGGACCTCGGTTGTGCGCCCTCGCCACTCCCCGCGACCCGCGCGCCCGGCCGCTTCGCCCCCCATCCCATGCGCTGCAGCGCGCTCGTGCCTGTGCCCCCCTTGCTGCGAACGCCCCCGCGCGAGCGACACGAATCTGGCGCACACCCGATTCGCGGGCAGAGGGACGGCCCAGCGCGCAGCCGCGAATCGCCTCCATGCCTACTGCGCTCCCGCGACGCCCGACGCGAGCCCGCGCCATGCTCCCCATTCTCTCTGCTCTGCAGGACGCGCGCCGAGAGGCGCTACATGGTCGACTTCAACGAGAGCGAGGGCGAGTCGGCTTTCTTGGTTGTGAGATCAACAAAGGGCGTCTGGTTCGACAACCCCCACGTGTTCCATCGGAGCCTCGCAAAGGTGCCAATCAGCTTTTGTTTCGCGGAGGGGGCCCAGGTTCAGACCGAGCTCGGGCCAACGGCTTCCGTCAAGGTCGGTGGCTACTTCGCTTCCAGTGCGGAGTATGAGGAGTGGTATCAGCGCCGCCGCGCGAGCCTGACGCTGCCGCCTTTGCTCGGAGCTGAGGTGCGCTCTTTTACGCCAGGATCGGCCTTGTCCCTACGGTGACCCCGTCTCCAAACATTTACGTTTCTCCCTCGCGCAGGCGTGCGGCGTCAAGAACGACGTCGTCGTGAAGGAGGAGGCCGCCGCCGAGGAGGCCGCCTCCGAGGAGCCCGTCGTCGCCGAGGAGTCCGCCACCGAGGAGGCGACCATCAAGCCCGCCGCCGCCGAGGTGTCCGCCGTCGTCAAGGAGGCCGCCTCCCAGGAGGCGCCCGTCGCCGAGGAGGCCGTCGCCGAGGAGGCTGCCAAGGAGGTCGAGAAGCCGGCCAAGACCGTTTCCAACACGCCCGACCCAGCGGCGAGCGCGCCGCAGCATTCTCCTGGCACTCCTCGCTCTCCCACCGGTAATAATCTCCCTTCCCGCGTGCCCCTATCGCGCTTTCAGGACACCACCTGCTACCCGGGCCTGCCCACGCCGATGGCGGCGGGGAAGACCGGGCCCGCGTCGGCCCGCAGCGGCTCCGGACCGGGCTACGTGGACGGCGTCGAGGCTGCAGTCCGCCGCCTGGGCGAGAGCGTCAGCTACCAGGCTACGCCCGCCGACGGCAAGAAGTCGCCGTCGCCGGGAGTCCCCACCTCCGGCGGCATTGCGCCCGTGGCGCCCAAGCCCCTTGGCGCGGTCGCGGGCGCGGGGCAGGCTGAGGCCGAGGTCGCCAAGGAGCGCGAGCACTGGGAGGGGCGGCTCAAGAAGGCGAAGGCCGCGCTCGATCTCATTGCCGATCAACGGAAGAAGTGGGCGGACTTGCAGTCGCGGCGCTCGAGGAAGTGCCGGCGCAAGGCAAGGCGCTGGGGCAAGCCGAAGACTGGCAGGAGCCACGGTCGCGGCCGCGGCCGCCGCCCGGACCGGCGCCGCGAGCCGCAGACCACGTCCGGCAAGGCGCCATTCGCCGCTGGCACATGCGGCGCCGTCGCTGGCACATGCGGCGCCGTCGCTGGCACGTGCGGCGCCGGCGGTCGCGCCGCCTTGGCGGCGGCCAACTGCGTGCAGGGCGGCTACACGAATGCCGAGGGCGCCTTCCGGTGGCTGCTCCTCGTCTGCATGCCCGCCTTTGGCCACTGCGCGTCCGCCGTGCCTAGCCCGACGGCGGTGGCCTCGGCCTTCTCGTCTGCCGTCGCCTCGGCGTCCTCGGCCTTCTCATCCGGCGTCGCCTCGGCGGCGTCCTCGGCCTTCTCGCCCGCCGTCGCCTCGAAGGCGTCCTCGCTCGTGAGCTGCTCGCCGCTTCTCATGCCCGCAATCGTGCTCATCCTCCTCGCCATCGCTTGCGGCGCCTCCTGGCCGACCGCGGCGAGCGGAAAGGGGGCTCGCGGCGCGGCGTGGGCCACCTGCCTTTTCGCCGCCACGGCGCGCCTCACCGGCACGGCGGCGGCGCCTGCAGGCTTCTTCGCGAGCGCCTTCTCGTGGCTCGCGGCGGGTCCGCCGCAGGTCGCCGCGGCCGCCGCCCTGGCCGTCGTCGGCACGGTGATGTGGCGCCGCAACTCAAAGGCCCGCCGCCTCGGCTGGTCCAGCCTGCTCGGCATTCTTCTCTGCTTGGCCACCGTCTCTGGCGGCTTGGTCACCGCCGCTGGCGGCGCCGCGCTTGCTGCATCCTCAACTGCGCTGCCAGACGTCACTGCGCTTCCGGCGAGCCCCGCCACCACCACCCCACCTCCGCACCCCGGATGCCCGCATCTCCAACCCCTTCCGGCACCTCCTTAGGCCGTCAATACGCACCCGAGGTGTGAGATGGAAAGCCGGTGCACCACAGACCAGCAGCGGCGCTTGTTTGACAAGCGAGTGATCGTGCCGCGAACGCTTCTGCTCCAGCGCGGGATTGTGAACCAGCTCGCCAGATTTGGGAGTGTGGTGCGCCAGGCATGCACCCAAGGCTTCCACGTTGCCGGCCTCCTGCTCACCGACATGCAGAAAGCCAACGAATCGTGTGATTGGCGCTCTATGGTTGCGCTGAAGAAAGTGCCAGAGTGCAACTCGACCCATATCGTGCCTTACAGCTGTGTCAAAGCAGCGAGCATGAGGGCGGAGGGCCGCGCATTGCCCATAGGGAGAGATCAGGCGCATGGTCTTGCCTCCTTCCTCAAAGTGAAGCCGCAGCCATGGTATGCGAGTGAGCGGAGCTTTGACCCGTACCGCGAGGCCTTCGTCGGCGTCCACCTAAATTTTGACGTCGATTGGATCGCCTTCATTTGCCACAAGGTTCCGCCAAACTGGCTGTGGGACGCGCAGGGATCCATCTCATTGGGGCTCTTCGATCAGCTGGGTCCGTACACTGGCTTTGTGCGAGCATCCGTGATTACACCTTTCGTGCGGCATATGCAGCACCTCTTCAATGGCAGCCTTTCCGGCAAGCCCGTTGTTGTGGCAACCCCGCTGGGCAAGAAGTACAAAGAGACGGCTTGGATTTTGCGCGAATTTGAGGCAGAGGTGGCCCTCGTCCTTGGTGTGCGCGTCATATCGGGTAGCAGCAGGCTCGCAGAACGCGAGCTCAACGCCTTGGCCGATCTGCATGTGCTGGGGCATTCCAAAGCCTTTCTGGGCTGGAGAGGCTCAACCTTCTCGAGATTCGTTACGGAGATGCTTCCGGCAGGCATCCCGGTTGCGACCTTTGCCCCCCCTTACGGCGACTGCGCTCGTCATGTGCGACAGAGCTCCGGGGATGACCGCTTTGAACAATTGGACCGATCGTTCCAGGCCGCCGCGAAAAGAACAGCAACTTTCGAAACATCTTCCATAAGCCCTCAAGTGCGCCAATCCCAGCAGCACAGCCAGACAGCTTGCAACGGTGCCGTCGCCGGGTTTGAATACAGGGCAAGCTGGCTCGAGCGAGAGTGGACGACACGCCCGATTGACACTGGCAGCTACGGAATCTGCACCCTCGCCCGGAGCCCAGCTCAGCAGCGAGGGGTTGCACAGTGGTTGAATTACAGCCAGCGAACCTGGCTGACGGCAAAACACAGCCAGCGTTTGCGTGGGCGCTCAGAGCCGCCCGGGAGGTTGGAGGGCGACGTCCTCTCCTGGATGTCGTGCAGCGACAGGCGCGACCCGATTGAGCCACTGACCGGCGTCGCGCGACACCCAAGAGCGCCTATTGGGTGTGCGGACACGACAAAGGAGCAGGTACATGCAAACGAGTTCCTGTACGATATCTCGCACCTTGTGCTGCACAACGAGTGCGGCGGAGGCGCACGGGCGCCACCCGGCAGGAAAAGTCTCTTCTTCGACCTGGGCTCGGGCCATATGTCGAAAGCACCTGTCGATCTCCAACATGGGGCTGGACACTTTTCGTCGGTGCCGCTCTTCATTCAGCTCTACAAGCAAAACTGCATTCACTTTCATTCTTTGTACGCTTGGGAGGCGAAGCCCGTCTCTGAGGTGTCCTACTGGGACAACGTGCCTGCAGCTCTGTCAGAGAGGCTGTATTTCTTCAATGAGCCCGTCCGGCGCGTGACTTCGGAACCAGCAGGTTTCAACGCACTGCGGACATTGCAAGCGATAGCGCGCCCGATCGACTTTGTAGCACTGAAAGTCGACTTTGACACCCCGAGTGTGGAAGCTCCCTTGATGGAAGCCATTGTCGATTCGGAGGCCTTGTTGGGCCTCATCGACGAGGTC